TTAGCATTGTACTGACAGAAAAAAACAGACTCGAGCATCAGGAGAACAGATTAGAAGGTGTAGACACAACTACAAATACACTCAGCCACCGTATCTTTGACAAAGGGGCCAAACATGTTCACTGGAAGAAATAGAGCCTCCTTAATAAATGGTGCTGGGAAAAGTGGCTCTCCACATGCCAAAGACTGAAACTAGACCCATGTCTATCACCATGCACTGAACCAAAGTCAAAATGGATCAAAGATCTAAATATTAAAACTGAAACACTAAATCTACTGGAAGAGCAAGTAGGTAGAAATCTTGAACACATAGGAGTAGGTGGAGAGTTCATGAACAAAACCCAGATTGCATGAGAAATACTTCAAACAATCAATAACTGGGATTCCATCTTATTAAAAACATTTTGTGCAACAAAAGAAATCACCAACAAAGTGAAAAGACAACCCACAGATTGGGAAAAAAATGTTAGACAGTTGCCCCTCAGAGGAAGGAATTATATCTAGAACATATAAAGAATTGAAAAACTCAGACCCCTCCCCCAAATTCAAGGAACCAATGCAAAGTTTGGTATCTAGATGACTATACACTTCTCAGATGAAGAAATACAAAAGGGAAATCAATATATTAAAAAAATGTTCAACATCACTGGCCATTTGGTAGATGAAAATTGAAACAACACTGAGATTCCATCTCACTCCAGAAATAATGGTTATCATAAGACATTAACCAATAGCAAACCTTGGCATGGCTGTGAGGAAAAAGGAACCTTCTCCACTACTGACGGGAGTGTAGACTGGTACAACCACTGCAGAAATCAGTATGGTGATTCCTCAAAAAACTAGAATTAGTGGTCCCATATGACCCAGCTACTCTCCTTCTGGGTATTTTCCCAGAAGAATTTAAAACATTATACCACAGTGATTATGTGCACCCATGTTTGTAAAAACACAATTTATAATAGCTAGATCTTGGAAACAATCCAAATGCACATCAGCCAACAAATGGATAAAAAAGATGTGATCTTTTTTCCAAAATGGAGTACTACTCAGCCATAAAGAAGGGTTAACTGGAGAGTTTTATAGACAACTGCATGCAACTCAAGACCATACTCATAAGTGAAATAAATCAGACTCACATGTGTAAACATTGTATTGTCTCCCTTGTGTGAGACACTGAAAGAGTAGAGAAGATCCAGTATGTAAAATACATATAGTGAATTTGGAATAAATTGTTCAAAAGAAAAGAGGAACTAGGATGGTAAAAAGGGGAAAGGTCAGAAGGGAAAAGGAAAAAGAATACAAGATAGTTATACTAGTAGTTTCTCTTAGGTCATCGAAAAGAAAGGTTTTTGCTAAAATTGTCTGGAGAATTTTTATGCCAATACCTTATACGCTGAGTAACTACTTCAAAGCTAACAATACACAATGTATTATCTACTGTTGTTCTCCTATTATTTTGTTTTGAAATTTTATTTTAGTTTTTTCTATTAAATAAAAAATGGAAAAAAAACACAGATTACAGCCATGTTGGGATTTATAAATGGCCTTTGGCATCAAGAACTAAGATAATTGTGTGTATTAACACATCACTGAATGCTTCGTATTAGACCAATGATGTTGTAAATATGAAGGAGGAGGAAAAATAATTTTAAATGAAAATTCTGGAGAAACCAGATCAATCTCATATCTGTGAGCCTTGCTATTGGGAACCTAAACCTCTGCCCCATGAAAGTTATGTATCTACCACCACCAAAACCCAGGAGATTCAGACCAACTTCACAGCTCTAAATGGAAAGAAATCATGAAAATGCAGGGAGATTTAAGGGAAGCAGGGTGGTGAAACTTAGGAATCTACAAAACTCAGCACTGCAAATTTTAAACCCATCTACATTTTATACCTTAAAGTATGAAAGTAAGATAAAGCAGCTTCGTGACTTACCAAACATGTGCCTCAAAATAGTAAAATTGATCCAGGGACAGAGCTTAGTATGATGACCAAGGATCAACCTACAGTCTTGGACAAAAGAATATTTGCTGTACAAGGAAATTATTTATAATCTCCAAATGCAAAACACTAAGAGAAACAGTGTCTTTTATAAAGTTCATATGAATTTGCTATAGGAACTCAAAATAAAATTTGAGTATAGAATTACTTGAAGTGGGTCATTAGAAAATTTGATATTTTTAAAAATATCCTCACTTGTTGGAAGGAGCAAAACAACAGGTTTATTGATGTATGTAGAGCATTTAATGCTAACAAGCATAAATTTCTTGTTGAATGCATTAGTTTAGGAGAAAGATATTTCTTTAAAGCTATTAATTCAGTGAAACGCAAACAAAATTGCTGTCCATATTCATCCACATGAAGTACTTCAGATGTGGATTTAATTATTTCATAATGTGTGTATCAGCATTTAACACTGCATCCATAAACATATATAATTTGTATTCAATGACTAAAGATAAAGTTAAAGATAAAACTGAAACTTCTTCAAGGCAAAACCTGGATTTCGCTTAAAGAATACAGCAGTAGCACAGTGAAGATGGGTGAAGGCAGAAATACAAGATCACCCTCCTCCCAGGGATTCATGACAGACATTTGTCCATCCACCCCCTCCTGAAAGAACTTACGTGCAGCAAAGTGTCATCATATTATTGATAAAGTGTGAACTTTTTTAATATTTTGGGATAAAGCTTCTTAAAGAATCTGTACCTCAAGACCATTTTCAGTGAAACAGTGACCAGTACAGAACTTCTGTGTTGGCACTGGTGTTACTCAGCACTCTATGGAGACTCTCGGCTTTCGAATAAATATTCAGAAAGGTAGCAGAGCAAAAGGAACCAAAGGGAAGCCAGGAATTGATATCTCATCAAGAGCAAGTTTATTCGCCTGAGAAAACCTAGTACAGGACCCCAACAAAAATAATATCATCTTTGAAAATATTAAAAGTACCTTTGGCAATGCAAGGATAATGTAAACATATGTACAAATTGCTTCTCTGTAATTAGTTTTATTTCAATAAGTTATTTTTCCTTCTGATTTTAAAAGAAGTGAAAATTCTTGAGCCCTTAAAACCTTGTTCCTACTGGGTACATCAGCCTGCCTGGGCATGAATAACTTTTGGAAGTGCGAGTGTGTTCTCACCATAGACAGGGATCACAGCGCCTGGGTCTAGAACAGGGCCAACTGCAAAGGCAGCCAGATTCCCTGAGCGTGTGCAGGGACCGCAGAGGTAAACGGAAGAGTAGGTGGCCGCTCATTCCCTCCTAGGGAGAGATACAACCTGCATCCATCCTCCTTCAATTAGTCTTTTTTTTTTTTTTGGTTTTGGTTTTTCTCCGGTACTGGGAACCGAACTCACGACCTCGCGCTTGCCAGGCAGGCACTTTTGCCGCTGAGCTAAATCCCCAGCCCCATAGTCTTAAACTCTTATAACTCTTGATATCTGGTCAATTTCTCATTCCCCACTATAACTAGATTATGTGTGGACACGCTGAGCTGTCTTTAGTTAGAATCCTGTCTGGTGGGTGCAGCCGACTCCCTCATGCTGCCCTGTGTTCTTCAGTAATATTCCATCCAGGGTCCTCCGTCCTCTTATTTGGCGCTAAACTCCCATCATCCCACCCACCGTTCGGATTCTGCTTCCCCAAAACAAACCACATTGCAGTAGTTTCTATATTGAGGGTTGTGTCCTGATCAAATAAAATCCTTCTAATTTTCAATACGTGCCATGTGTAATTAATTCTTTCATAGCTTTCAGGAGATTTGGAGCATAATTTGTGTCAACCACTCAAAAATCCTCCTGACCTGTCGCTATTTGAGCAGTCACACTCAGCATCAGCTACAATAATCAAAGTTTATATATAAAGCACATTGATAATGATATCTAATACATGTTGGAAAATTATGAAAGAAAGAACACACATGCAGGGTGTAATGACAGAGGCCTGCAATGCCAGCGGCTCAAGAAGCTGAAGCAGAGGAAATTCTGGAGCCCTGAAGTTTGCTGTTAGCATAGTCTACACAATAAGACCCCATCTCTATAACTATGTAGCCACAGGGAAAATATCTAGGTATAAAAGTATAAGAAACGTCCAGACATTCTATGGAGTACGAGATAGATAGCCACCCCATCTACAGAAGAAAAAAGCTCAAATTCCTTACTCTGCCACCCCTGCTCCCAAATACGGGCAGCAGCCACTGTGGGTTCAGCATCTCATAAAAGACACAGTCAATCACTGTTTCTGTGCCATCTCTTTTTCTCACAAAAGCACTAGAATTCTCCGAAACTTTGAAATGCTCATTGTTTAGTTACATATTTTGCAATGAAAACAGGATTGATATGGCTGTAGCTGAAAATATAAAGTATACCTGTGTCCAAGTGAGAAAGGATCACACTGGCAGGGAAAAATCTCACAGTCAGCTCATCCCTTATTCCTGGCCCTGCCTGCAGCTCCAGGAGTCAGGGAGCATCCCACACAGGAGCTATTGACCCAGAAATTAGATGAAGTGCTAACTGAATAGCTGCACTAGGAAGTGGCTTCAAGCACAAGAGGGAGAAATATCAGAGGACAATCTGTACAAGTAAAAGGAATTTTATGTATAGAGAAACATTAACAGACTCTTGATTGTATAAGGAGACATTTGGGGATAGCCACTTAATATTCACTTCAGTCCACTCCAAGGGCTTGGATTCTTTTGCTAAAGAACATCTCTTATTGCCCTGCAGTGCATGTAGGTAGAAGGAAGGGCTCTGACCTGGAATGAGGTGGAGAGCGGTGTGTCTCAGGTTCCAGACCTGAAATCAAGAAGCTCAGAAAACAAAAAGGGAAAACTCTCTTCCCACATTCAAGCAGTTAAAGGGGACAGGAAAAGAATCACAGTCTTGGTATGTACATGTGGGTGGGCAGGACAGGATAGCATTAAAGAGAACACTGATTCCTAGCCAGTATCCACCCCGATAACCAGGAAGAAAATAAAGACACGACGAAAACACTTACGGCGTGATATAGAATTCCTTCGTAGGCTTTATAGCAAAGATACCAGTGTAGTAGATATAGAAATAAAGAGAGAAAAAAATCCCAATCACCACGTCTCCATCCTTGCGCACACTGGTGCTCCTTCGGTGGAGGCAGGCTTCATTATCAAAAGTGCACACTAAGGCAGGAAGCTGCAGGAGAAGGAAGAGAACAATCAAAGGGAACATCTTAGATGCATATGCAAAGTTTCAGGCTGCGTGAAGAGGAACTTGTCAGCCAGGTAAATAAAGATGTTCTCTGTGTGTGATTCAGCGTGACATTATTTCTGACTCAGGCGGACACTCTGATGCCCTGGCTCCTGTCGCCAGTGCCTGCTCCACGTCCCTGGAGAAGTTTGCCACCGTTGCACCCCTGGGCTGTACATCTGAGGTCTGGAGTCCTGGAAAGAAGCACAAGACACAAATTATACTTCAGTATCATTTGCCCCACCTGGAGCCACCATGATTTAATCCAGTTTCACTGATAGCAACATCCCAGAGGCCACTTCCTCTTGGGCAGATTTCCTTCTGTGTCTTTGTCAATAAGCCATGGGCTTAAAAGCCATTAGAGGTGTTGCTAACAGATTGCACTAGAAGATTTATTGGTACGTTTGTGCTGAAATAGTTTGAAAATCCCAGAGCTCATGGAAGAAGCATCAGGCATTGTGGTTTCCAAAGTGGAAGATTGAGATATATCTCCTGACAGGTCCATGATCAAGAGTTGCAGCCACAGAACATTCTTGGTGTAGCTGTGTTGTCTGCATACCAGTCACGTGCACTAGCACCCACAGCCACACCTGCTGTCCATTGCTTGGGGTATAAATAATTACAGTACAGCCAGGAAACCCAAATTACTAACTCAAGATCAGTGCAGAAAGAAAATTCACTTTTGAGTGATATAATTTAGCCCATTTTCCTACAACTTCATTTTTCCAAGTATCTTCATTCCGTGGTTTAAAATATTGTCATAACTCATTTCTATACTCCTACAAACCTGAATATTTCCAGTATTTAGAATTTTGTGCAAGCATGAGTCTGTGTAGTAAATTTCTTTTTTTTTTTTTTTTTTTTTTTTTTGCCTTATCCTAAAGTAGAGGATCAAAGCTGGAAATGACATCTATATTTCCCATTACATAAAATTTTGAAGAGCAAGGACACAAGCAACATTTACAACCCTGACCTCAGTTAATTTTTCAGGACAGGGAGATTATTCTGATTAATGTATTTGTTCAACACATGTCATTTTACATTTGTCAAAATCTAAATAGTTGGGGCAGGGGTTTTAGCTCAGCGGCAAAAGCGCCTGCCTGGCAAGCGCAAGGTCGTGAGTTCGGTTCCCGGTACCGGAGAAAAACCAAAAAAAAAAAAAAATCTAAATAGTTTTCAGCACAGAGAGTGAACCTCATTATGGACACAGACTTTATGTATCACAGAGGAATCAGTATCGGCTTATAAACTCTGACATGTAAATAATAAGTGATGTGTTAAAGGTGGGAGAGAGTCTATTAATTTTTGTAAAGTTAAATCATTACAAACTAAGTCCATAAGTTTTAAGAAAAAACACATAAATAAAAGACACTGGCCTCATGTCTTCATTCACCTTCGAACAGTAGATACTCAAAAGAAAGTTGGAGTATAAGTACAAAACCTTCAAAGAGTTTCAAAGAAATTTAAGACATAATGAATTACAATGTCTCAATAATTTTATAATAACTATGTGGCAGAATAATATATCAAAACTATTGGTTTAAAGAAATTATATAATAATAGTTTTAGATGAAAAGCATTTATCGTGTATATAT